AGCTGGAATGGGATGGACACTGGTGCCATGGGCTGTGATAGGTATCTGTATTGTTTGTGATTTCCTCATAATATTTAAAAAAAAATAGTTGTTTTTTTTCAAAAAGCTTTTATCTGACATCTGCAAAATAATCTGTCTCTTTTATTACATGCCTCATCTTAAAGACCTAAGAAGGATTGTACAATTCAGGTGCAAACATTATTCCAGATTTTTGTCCAGGTATTGCTGTCCCATCCAGCTGGCATTTTGTCCCTGGAGTCATATCTCCCTTAAAGGTCTCCCTTTCCCGGACCGGGGCTTGACTAGCTAGCTCTGTCCTCTGGTCTCTAGATTGGTAGGAGGCCGAGAGCCCCAGCCCCTTGCCAGTCCTTGACACTGACTCCTGTTCGGACGTTGCTGCCTAACAGGCTGTTTCGGTGTCTGTTTCCAAATTATGTGTCAGCTTTTACAACCAGAAAGTAATCCTTTCACATGGGATCTCACAACCATGTGCTGGTGACCTTCATCCCTCTCCGGGTCTTCAACTCCTTGTTAGGGATTTCAGGTAGAAAATTATTTTACCTTTTTGATGTTTGGGAAGAAAAATAACAACGTAACTGAGCTAAACTCTCTTCATCTCTAATTTGGCTGACTTTTAGTTTTATGAGTGAAGTATAGAAATTAAAGTTTATATTTGCATTAAATAGCTTTGTAAAGATTGACTGCACCCTGCTTATAATTTTTACCTGAAAATATGTGGAAAGTTATAATCACTGAAAATGTTGCACTTATTTCAAAGCAGTTAGAAATTCAGGGCCTGCAGCAAACGTCTAATCCTGCCTTGTTTTATATGACACTCTGCTGAAACATCTTCCTCTGAGTTCAGGCCATGATGTGGTAGTTGAATGAATAAAAAACAAGTCAGAGAACAAAATTACACAAATTTCGCAGGCCTTAATTAGCTTATGAATAATTTGGGGGTCCTGTTTTATGGTATGCTCATGGCGGGGGGAAAATCAAATTGAAGTTTCGTGATAGCTTTTTTGTTTCTCAGCAGATCTAAAGAGGGAACTTTCTACAAAGTAAAAATAGTTAATAATAACATCACGGATATTTGCATGCTCCTTGATAATGGGAAAATGGTAGGGCTGGGATTAGTTATGCTGGCTTCACAGTCTTCTGGAGAGTGTATGTGAACTGTGGTCATCTGAAGCCACTTTTCAGTGCTGGATGAACAGAGGTTGGTCATGGGCCGGTGGCTTGGTCCTTGAAGTGAAGGAGCCGGGACACTTGGTTAGTGCCCTGCATTTGCACCTCGTTCTCTCAGGTCAAGTCTTCATTGTGCTTCAGTGTTGTTCTGTGAGAGAGGCAGCTACTGTACAGTCCAGTCAATGCAGATTTCTAATCTGCTTATTTATAATTCAAAAGCTTGCCTATATATTAATGAACCCTTAATGAGCTGTTGCAAATGCCTGAATTACAGTCAGAATGTTAAACTCAAACAGCCCCGTAATCATACCATTTGAGTGGGCTTTAGGTACTTTCCACATCTGCAGCTTAGCATTGTGAAGGGTGTGCGTTTATTTGGAGAAAGCTTTGTGATAATTTTGACCCGTAATTTATTTGTTGCCCTCCGAACGCAGTCGTCTATGCAGATGCTCTTTCCCATTATCTGTGGGGCAGGTGCACAGCATGTTGAAAGACAGCTAATTAGGATTTGCTGAAAGATATGCAAAAACTCTGGGCTCATAACAAAGCCAAGTTCATTGTTAAGCAATGTTTTCCCGTGTTTGTACGATTTGTCTAAATCTTATGGATACTGAAATGAATGTTGTGGTAAAAAGTAGATCTCAAATAACAGTTTTGTTAAACTTTATAAAGCTGTGATGACTCAAGACCCCAAATGAAAAAAATTTTGTAAGCTTCTCTGTGTTATCCACTTTAGTTGCATTTCAGTAATTTTTAAAAGTATTATTATTATTAAAAAATTTTTTTAATTGGAAGGTCAAATATACAGAGAGGAGGAGATACAGAGAGGAAGATCTTTTGGCTTCTGGTTCACTCCTCAAGTGATCACAATGGCCAGAGCTGAGCCAGTCTAAGGCCAGGAGCCTGGAGTTTCCTCTGGGTCTCCCATGCAGGTGCAGGGTCCCAAAGCTTTGGGCTGTCCTTGACTGCTTTCCCAGGCCACAAGCAGGGAGCTGGATGGGAAATGGGGCAACTGGGACACAAACCAGCACCTATATGTGATCCCTGTGCATGCAAGGCTACCATGCTGTACCCTTAAAAATAATTTTACCAAATTTAAATTTGAGGATGTCACATTCTCTCGATAGCCATTCATTCTGGCCTTTGCAAATTTAGGCTCATTCAAATGCTTATAAGTGTCCAGGGGAGTGAGAATTGTGATTTGGAAACCCATGTGTGACTTTTGAAGGTTACTAAGCTGGTAATAGTGAGTAGACAGCTAGTAAGTGTAGGAATAGTATCGTAACCAAAGTGTAAAGTAAGAAACTGAATAAAATATTCAAAGTGAAAATATTTTTGGAAACAAGACATCACTAGAGATCCCATAATAGTCTGCTTGTTCAATAAAGTAGACTCACTGTTCAAACTGTACTTAGGAGAATGACCTCATTATTGATAAGTAGCTTTTTCCATGAACTTTTTGTCACAAAATGACTTCTTTGATGAGATTTGATGTAGAGTTTATGAGGTAAATAAAGAAAAAATACATTAAAACATTTTTCCCTGTTGGCTAGGCAAACACATGTTGATTTGTTTAGGATTTTAGAAGTAGGATATTATTCATCACAAAAGGAAAATGTATTAGTAACTGAAAATGTCCTTTACTGTTGGTTTTATGGGGGCCACTGCTATTGGGCAAATGCGTCACTTTCTGTTGGTGAGGGAGTGGCAGCTAAGTACATTTGAGGTATGTGTAGAAGCGTATGAACTGGCTAATCGGCTTCCTCGTGTGTTACACTGTGCATCCACTCTGGCTTGTCGTGCTTGTGCAAGGAAGTGTAATAATGTTGACCATGGATGTTGATCTGTTAAAGAACCTCAGCCACATGTCTCCTGGGAAAGATCAGTGTGTAGAAGTACAAGGGGGGAACCAGAAGCCTGCAGTAACCTTGGGGGCAGAAGGAAGCCACAATTCCAGGAGACACATTGCCAGTACACGAACATACAAAAACAAAAAAAATACACAGCAGTGAGCAAAAATTGAGTTTAAAAGGTATAAATTTAAGAAACTCCAAAATTGTGCAAAATGAAACAGAGGCCAAAGTGCAAGATAAGAGATTAATAAGTAAGCCCTCACTAGCCTCAAATGCTCAGAGAACTTGGCATGGGTACCAGGAGTATGTGTAGGTCATGCGATTTTACATTTACCAAGATATGATTTAGAAGGAAAAAAGTCAAAGGTGTAAAATTTTGAATGAGAACTGGACCAAAATGTGGCATTTCTAGAACAATTTCAGGAACAACTGCAAATACCTGTTTATACTTATCAATAGTGTGTTAATAAAGATTTTGTTTTATAAAAAAGTCATCTTTTTGTTCCCCTTAATGAATTTATTGCCTTAGTGTATTGTTGTGTTCAAATTTTATTTATATGCCTCTGAACAAGCAACAGATACGATTTTAAATTATGGTGAGTTAGTTTTATTACCCAGTTGAAATTATTCTGAAGTGTATTTTTAAATGAAAGTGACAGCTTTAAAGTGTTTTGGGGGAGGAAACTAAAGTTATGTATTTGAATTAAGACAAGCAGGAGTTCTGTCATGCTGTGGGTGTAATTCAGGATCTCCAGGAATGAAGACTGTTCTTCAAAGAATTGATGGTAGTTTTAGGTGGCATATCATAAAGTCACAGAGCGAGTGATCAGCTGAGTGCTTGGCAGCTTCTAGATGTTACTGTCATGTAAGTTACACCAGACCGTGTGAACCACTGTGGGTAAACAACAACAGGCGCAGATGCAAAAGGCAGGATCCAAATGTGTACATGCCAACTCGCTCAGCCCCCCTTCCCAGGAAGCCTGTAACTAGTGTGGGAACCTGCCTTTAAACAGATTTACAAGGTTAATTGGGCTGGGATATTTTAGATTATGTTACACCTTAATGAAAATGCTGATTTTGAGCTGTCATGACTCTAGTGCTTTTTATACCATGACAATTATTTAAAAACTTTGTCTTCTGTGCTGTTGAAAACGTCTTGGCAGAAAGCCTGTGTGACCTGATTAAACCTACGAATTGTCAGCTGTGATCTGTAGCACTCAGAAGAGGTTGCTGACTGGGCATCACTTAGGAAGTTCCTGATTTAAAAGCAAAATTAGATTGAGAGACTATTGCGCCCAGCCCTATGTTGCCGTGTCAGGAACACATTCTTAATACTGGATTTGGGTTTCTGACTTTGTAGTTTGCTGGCAATTGCTTAACAACATTCATTTAATAATACGTATTTAAGTAAAGCAAATTACTTCATAATGTGTATATTCCTCTTCTGAAATTGCATGATGGAAAAGCCCACTGAATCCTGTTTATTTTCCAGTGTTTGGATTTAGTTTGGGAACGAATTATTGCGTGGGAATTTTATTCCTGTTTATCCAGCTATACAGAGAAAGAATACCAGTCTTTGTATTTGTTTTATATCCCTGGAACAATTTTTTTCCTTTGTTAAAAATCCTAATTTCTTACCCCCTTCTCATTTTATGCTTAAATCATCTGAATATAAGAAGTGTGGCTGATTAGAATATTCTGACTCCAGGTTTATCTTTGTCTAAGGATCTACCTATGATAAATTGAGATTGGGGTAGAAATGAGAAATTCTAGGGTATGTAAATATTGAAAATATTTATGGTTACTTACTCAAGCTATTGACCAAATGTGAATGATGAAGTTCTCCGCATGAATTGTAGTACTTGATATTGTTTGATCATTTTCTTAAATAAACAAAATACTCACACTGTTTGTCCTCTGTTTCTCGCTTCTTCTCTGTCTCTCTCTCTTTCCTTGAAGGTCTCAGCATCAGAGGAGCCCAGGAGGAGGACCCTCCCGATCCCCAGCTAATGAGACTGGACAATATGCTTTTGGCAGAAGGGGTTTCAGGTCCTGAGAAAGGTGGGGGATCGGCGGCAGCAGCTGCAGCCGCGGCAGCCTCTGGAGGTTCTTCAGATAACTCTATTGAACACTCAGATTACAGAGCCAAATTGACCCAGATCAGACAAATCTATCACACAGAACTGGAGAAATATGAACAGGTCAGCAGCCGCCACTCTCATAGTCCTGCACAAACCCTCTATTGCTCTTCCGTTAGATCGTGCTAAGCAGTTCCGAGGGCCGTGAGGGGTAGGTGTTGACACAAAGAACAAAACAAACAAGGCCCATGCAGAACCCCCGGTGAATTGTTGGATTCCCGAAGATACTTGGCGATATTGGAGGTGAAGCTGAAACTATAGTATCCCATCTGCTTATTTTAGTTTTATTCATTTCTCACATTGTGTGCCGTCAGTGCCTCACCTGCCGCGTTGTTTTCTGAGCTCACCACCATGTGCTCTTCGCAGCTCAGTACAGCTAACATTGATGCAGTGGCCTTTCTGGAAGCTTTCGCACCTTTTGAAAGGAAGCATTGTGTGGAAAACGCTTACTTCCTAGGTGTGAGCTCCAGAATCTTCCTAGGGCTTGCCTCTCACCCATTGCTCCAGAGTGTAGGTGAGGCCGCTAACTTCACAAAGTAAACAGGCCTGACCTGCCCCTCTGAGGAATACCACGCATCATGTGCTCAATTCCTGATGAGGAAGAGAATTTGGATTAAAGGTCCTGTTCCTGAAAATGACAGTAACCGTACTTCATTGACCCTAAGGTATCATTGATATTAAGTGCATCATGTATATACCAGCAAGGAAAAAGTCACGCTACTGATTTTAACTTTAACAGTGCCATTGATTGCAGAGTGCTTCCGAACTTAAGTTATATTGAAATATAGGAAAATGTATGAATCCTTGATCGATATAAAATGTACAGTGTTGACTTAGACATATTTTAGTTGCTTAAGGCTAAAAAGCTGCTTTGTTTGAGGCATTCCCATTCAGTAGGAATTCTCACTTGAGGTAATTTTTTGAAACCCGTTAATAGGGAAATTTTTAACCACATACAAAAATGAACAGAATAGTATTAGTTTGAATCCTATGTAGTCACTGTGTTTTGAGGTGAAAACCAGTTGTGTATTGACAATTTCATGGGATTCAGCGTAAAATAGGAGTCCCTCGTGTATCCTAGATAAACAACCAACATTGTGCCAATCTTATTTTCTCTGCCCCTCACTCTTCTTTTTTTGGAAGCTGAGTATTTTTAAAAGAAGCCTTAGACTTTGCATAATTTCACCCGTAAATACTTCATTGGTAGGCAAGTCTTCTACAGTCCTTACCCTTTAGTATTAATGAAGGTTTATTTTTTTTTTAAGTCTTTGTTGACTTGTTTATTTAAAGCAGTTTGAGAATCACAGCAAATTTGTGAGGAAATACAGAAATATGCCCCCTGAGCCCTGCTCCCACTCAGGCACAGCCCCCTCTGTTACTAACATTTCCAGTCAGAGTGGTGTGTTGGTTGCAATTGGTAAAACTACCTTGGCACATCATTACCAGTCCAAGTGCATGGTTTGCGTTAGGGTTCAGTGGTGGTGGTGTGCATTGTATGGGTCTGAGCAGTGTACAATGATGAGTGTCCAACCTGTGTGGCATCATACAACTCCCACTGCTGTGCTGTCCACCCCTCTCTCCTGCCATACTCCCTACTTACAAATCCCTGAGAACCCTTGCTCCATGTTAATGCCAGTTTTCTTGTAAGCACCCTGTACAGTTTGCCTTGTATATGTTGACTTCTTTTTTAGTTGCCTGTAAGGACATTGTGGGAAATATGCTATTCAGCAAATGCTAAATTCTGTCTTAGAGGTGAGTGCATTTTTAGAGAGAGTAGAAAAATTTCTATAGTGCTATCTTAAAGATACACTCTAAATTAATATTCTTTTTTTTTTTCAAATATTTTTCTGGGTCTAAGACTATTTCCAGTCTCATTTATAGGAAAACAACTTTTTGTGGAAAACGTGCAAATAAGAATTTTCACAAAGTTATTATTGTGTATGTACTTGAAAAAAATCTAGCTTTCTGATTTGACAGCAGTAATTGATTAGACAGAATAAATCTTTGGTCTTGAAAAAGGTGCTCTGAGCATAAATGTTTGAAAATGGTTCTAATTTTCAGTTTAATCCTAATTGCATAATTGTGTCGAATATGTCTATATATACTAAGAGAATGTCACCAGTCTCCTTGGATGCAAAGATGTATAATGCTCCTTTTTTTGGTCAAGGAATGAAGATGCTTCCTTTCTGTCCTTCTGCCATGTTTGTTCACTCTTGCCTCCTTACTTTTTCCAAATAGCCTTGTTGGAAGACTTTCACTCTTCACCTTGTTGGAAAGCTTTCACTTTCCACCTTGTTGGGTGAATCTGGCATCCATCAGTGACAATCCTTGAGCCTCTCAGAAATGCCTTAAAAAAGTTTTTAGTAACCATCTTCTCAACTGATAACAGAATCAAATCCCGTTTTTTTTTCTTTAAAAATATGTTAAATACATTATTCATTGATGAATCTCCTTTTTTGTATTTTTGGATTAACTATCAAATTGAGAAGTTTCAAAATATAATCATGGGAATGGGCATTTGGTCTTGTGGATGAACTTCTGAGTAGGATGCCTGCATCTCATAGCAGTGTGCTTGAGTTCTGTTCCCAGCTCCTGATTCCTGTTTCCTGTTAGTACAGACCCTGGGAGACAATGATGGCGGCTCACGTCAACACACCTCTGCCACTGCCATGGGGGACGCATGGCCTTGGCTAGCCAACTCCCAGCAGCTGTGGTCATTAGGAGAGCGGATGAGCAATGAAAACTCTGTCTCTCAAATCAATAAGTCATTTTGAAAGACATAAATCATAAATCTTTCAGAATGTAGTCAGTAGCCTGATAACCATTTAAATGTATATTTCTTTTCTCAGTTTTGCACTTTTAAAAGGAAAACTGTAGATCTAGGAAGTGTGTATAATATTTTAGACAAGTAAATGAAATGTGATGACTAGTAGGCATATTCAGTAGACTTAATTTATAAGTTTGGTTCAAATTATTTTGGAAGTGATATTGTAACACTTTGTCTTTGGGACTTTAAAAAAATATATATATACACATATATGTATTTTATTATGGTTTCCATTTTTGTGCTATCAGTTCTCATTTTTTCTTAACACTTAGGGAGCATTTTTGTTTTTAAGACTCATTTAAAAGGCCGAGTTACAGACAGACAGGGAGAGAAAGATCTTCCATCCACCGGTTCACTTCCCGAATTGCTGTCGCAGCTAGGACTGGGCCAGGTTGAAGCCAGGAGCCAGAAGCCTTATCTGAGTCTCCTACATGGGTGCAGGTGCCTGGGGACTTGGGCCATCTTTCATTGCTCTCCCAGGTACATTGACAGGGAGCTGAATCAGAAGTAAAGCAGCCGGCACTAGACTTGATGCTTATGTGGGATGCTGGCTTAACATGCTATGCCACAGCGCCAGCCCTTGGGACTAGCTTGAATGGCTCCTCCATGTCCATTTCTCTTAAGCTATTAGGATCAGTGGTTTTGAGATGCAGCAATTTTTTCAGTTCTTTAGGCTGCAAGGGCTTTGTCTAGAATGGGCTTTTCTAAGATAAGATCTGGTGTTATGGAAAGGGATAACCAGAGCTAAGTGAGGTGAAAGACTGACATTCCTAGAATAAATGGCATTGTAATTTCCATGTTTTAGATGAGAAAATGAAAGTCAGAGAGGTCAAGTGGTTTGTCCACTCTCACACATCTAATTAGTGTTAAGATCAAGCGTTGAAATCAGTTTCTGATAATATGCCTTTTTTATTGAATTATGCCAGCAGCCGTATAGGATCGGTAGATAATTCAAATACATTATGGTTTTCTATAATTTTCCCATGTTGCATTGCTTTTAAAATGGGAATAGAGCAAGTGGAAAGATAACTTTTGTTATTTTTTTTCAGAGATTGTATTTTTCTATCTAACATGCATGTGGGATATCCGAGTGACAGAAGCTTCCTGGTAAACAGGAAACACATGTATGTTAAAGCAGAGACTTTGTCAGAAAATGGTGTTGAGTCTTTTACCAAAAGAAATAAACTACATCGGAATCAAAGAATTATTTGCTCCAGTGTGCTTTGCAGTGAGGCTGTAATGAAAATATATCTGAAGCCTCTTTAGACTTACGTTGCCATAAAATTAACAAACACCACCACTGCAGTAAATTAAACTACCTTATACGCACAGCCACCTTTTTAAAGCTAAGCAGACTGGAGGTGCAGTTTCAGTAAAATTAAATCCAAGCTGCGAGGCTCAGTGTATGTGCTTTGAGGATGTGGTCATCTTTAAAGTCATATCCCACACTGCCCCTAGAAAGTCTTGTTTATTACATAGGATCATATTTAATGTTCCTGATAACTATTTGAATTCTCCTTATAAAGGTTTTGAATTATTAGACATGGTGATACTTGAATACATTGGGGTAAGAATTTTCTTGAATATTACTATCACCCTAAAGGAAGCAAAACTGTTTTACTTGTGTTGACTCTGTTACGAAGCAGCAGTACAGTCATTTCCCAAAGCTTCTAGCAAATTGTCTTACAATACTCTCTTACAATATTCTACTTTGGGCACATTGCTGCTTTCTTTACATGACAGTCAAACATGATTGCTTTTTAGTTTTTTCTTGATTGGCCACAAATTTTTTTGTTATTTTTATTTTGAATTTTTGAATTTTATGGTACAATTTCGTATAGACTGGGATTCATCCCCCAAACTCCCATCCCCTGACAGACTTTCCCCACGCTGCTACAATAGTACAGTTCTTCATAAGGAGTCATAATTCCATCAGTCTCTTATTTAAGTGTGCCCCGACATTGCTGGTACAGTGTGAAACAGTCCGGCATCCCGTTGTCTACACATTTCCAACAGTTTCAATGGGAGTCCATCTTTTGTCTGGAAGCAGGAATGCATGTTGCACTGTACTCCCACACCTGGATATGGTAGACCCCAGTACTCCATCACTATACATTTCCATAAGTGAGAAGCCATTCATACAAGGTCAACAACTTGTATGAATTAGAACAACAGCCACAACAACAACAATAAATCACAGCTTCATGAATAAACACGCCACTGACTAACCGACATA